AACTATCTACTTTATATTTAATTTTTTGAAAAAAAATTTTTCACATAAATTGCAATTTTGACAAAAAAAAATGGCATAACTCAAAAACAAAACAAAATTTCGTTCTGAAAATACGATCACATTTTTTATACTACTTTAATTTATATTAATTATCATTTTCTGGAGACAAATGATTAAAAATAAAACCGCTTGGTTCCATACTTAATAAAGACCTTTATTATTATTATTATTATTAAAAATTTAAACAAATATTTATAAGCAGAATTAAATTTTTTCCTTCATTCAGGTCCCATTCAGGTAACCTTAAATTTTGGGGGTTTGTTAATTATTCCTTTCATTTATGAATACACCAAAGGAAAAATCTGACTTTCCTCTTTCACATGCCCAAATACGATTTTAAAATAATTAAAAATGTCCAAGTTATCGATTTTTGAAGAGGACGGTGCAAATTCAAAAATTTTCATAAAAGACTAAATATTTTGAAAAGGAAAGCTCATCAAAAGCGTAACTGGAATAATCCAAGAATACAATAAAATAGATACATTTCTATTTAAAACAATGCAGTTGATACTCACTTCCGGGATAACCGGAAATACCGAATTTTAAAATTATTTTTCTGGATAAATTTCTTTTCTTAAACACTTTTAAATTATTCTTATCTGATTTAAGAACACACTAGTTTCTTTGTCAAATGATTTGTTGGCATTAATTTTTGTTCTGATTTTGCAAAAAATAAACGATGCATGTTCTTCCTAATTAGAAAATTATAATTATTTTTATTAGCTTGTAGTATTTTGTAACTCACTTTATAAAAAAATATTTTTTTGTACTTTGCTAAGTTTGTTTTTATTGCAATTTGATTTAAAAACTGTTTCTCAACACAACAATCGTTTCAGGATATTGCAAATTGATTGGAATAATCTATTCAAACAGAAAGTGTTGATAACAGTGATAAAACCAAAGAAAGCGACTTTTCTCTCCATCACATCAAAAAATTCACTTTGAATATTTCTATTTTGGTAAAGGTCAGAATTAACTAATCAATCTCACGACTGGTTCTAAGTAGGTTCAAAGCCTCGGGTTATAATTTATCGAAGATTTCCGCATTTATGAACGATTTTGCTATTTTTACAAAAATCTGTTCGGTTTTAAGTGACAAAATTGAAGAAAGTGTCCCCTGAGGCTCCATTTTACATATTTTCTTTTCTTTTTCAAAGGGAAAATCAACGATGTGTGATTTTGCTTTAAGAGTCTTGTGGAATTTGCTTTCGTAATTTGACTGAATAATTTTCCATAAATTAAATCGCACTTCTCCGTCATCACTGTAAAAAATTAATTGATACAATTTCATATAACGTCAACCAACTTTGACCTAAACAAATCATTAGTTTAGGACGTGGTAATGGATCTAAATTGATGTCTAGGTGAAAACTAACCAAGGATAAAAATAAACATTATGAGCGAGTCAATAATTAAAAATGCGATTATAGACTTTCTAATTTTCAAATTTTTATATTCACGATTTTGATCTGATTTTTATTGCCAAGTAGGCTAATTAATTAAAATTCAAAATTTACAGTTATTACGCCTCATTAGCCTATTTAAATTTAAAGTCAAGTTCAAAGGTAAAAATTTATAAATTAGGAGCGATTGACTTTAGTCTCCTCACGAAAACTGGTTTCACAAAATTTCCGAATTAATTATAAACCGGATTAGTTAAGAAGTTGAAGCTTGTAATTTTTTATTGCGAAAAAAACGAATAACACTTCAAATCACTTGGCTTTATTTTTTGGAACTTGTAGGTTGGTAACGGAGTCAATGACCAGTTGACGTCAAAAGTCAAATAAGGAAAAAAGGAGTTGGCCTTGAAAATTGCGTTTTTTTTATTTAATGGTCAAATTCGTTGCAATTTTCTTTGTAAGGTTAGTGATAATAAAACCTGTAAACAACCTTTGTTTATTCTTAGAAAACTGGTTTTTATCACTTATTAATGAATGTTTCGTCAATTTGACTACAAGAATAATGCATTAACATTAAATTAAAAACAAATTAAAAACCCCCTCTCTTACTGTGTAACATTTATAATTTATTTTTAATATATTTATTAATATATATTATTTAATATATTATTTTTAATTTATTTATAAATAAGCAAAAAAAAATTTTACATTGTTGAAACAACAATAAATAAAAGAAAATCGTGTCACAGCCCCCCTCACTCTCTTTAAATTATAATTTTCATCGCAGTGTGCACATAAACAAACGAAAAATGTCACAATATTTTCTCCCATCTATAATTTAATCAAAAATGAAAGAAAGTTAAGTGAGAAAGTGGCCAATTTTTGCCAATTTTTATTAAATTTTGTTTGCAAAGTCTTAGCCAAGCAGCATTAGCGTTTTCCGGTCTGATAATTATCTAAATTGTGACGTCATTTGACCCTCGTGACCATGGAGAAGAAGAAATCGTGAAAGTCAATTTGGCGGGATATTTAAAAATTAAAGAAATTTAAAAATTATACCTTTGACGTTGACGTCCCAGAGGACGACGATGGCGTCCAATCGTGCCAACCTCAAGGCTAGTAACCGTCCCAAACCGCCACCCCCGCCAGTGATAAGAATAATCTCCCCTTTGAGTTTTTTAAAGTGTTGATAAGAGGCGGGGAGTAATGATTTTACCACTGATTTCACAATCACGACTAAACATAACACCAGAAATCCCACAACGTCCATTAAGGACTTTAATAAATCGGCCTTGGCCATTTTTAAGGCACACTGTTGACTAGATTTGGGGCATTTTCAAGGCCGCGCCAAAGATCTGTAAAGAGAAAATGGAATATTTTTTAACACAAGAGATTATATAAGAAAATGAAGAAATGCACTCGTTTGAGTTTGGCCTAGATTCGGTGGCGAGTTGCATGCTTTGATGCAACAAAACTGGCCAGAAATGAACTTTTTAAATATTTTTCATCATTTTTTGTGACTTTTAAGTGAAGTTTAATTGCTGTTACATTCGCATTGTTTATGTAAGTGATACAAATGAGTATGCAAGGTACCAGTAGGAATTCTAAAGAAATGATTAATTTTATTACCAGGAAACCGGCTTGGCAATTGTTGGAAAGATGACCTTAACTGACTGAAACGTGGTAATTGGTGCGACCTTGAATTATATTGACGAAAAGAAATGAAGTTGCAAATTGCGTTTTTTTATTTATTCAACAAATAGGAAAATAACACTACAAAAAATCACTAAAAATAGACTGAATGATTTTTTTTTAATTATTGAAAAATTTGTTAATTTCAAGTCCTGGAAATTTTTATTTTTGAGTTTTTTTTTTCTTTCAGTTAAAGTTTTAATAAATACAATAATTCACTCTAAAGCAGACCTTAACGTCAAATTTGATTTTTCACAACCTCCAAAACGTCAAAATGACAGGAACATCGAATTGAAATCTATCTATAAGGGCTGTTTTACATTTATAATGTCAATCTTGGCCCATTTTTATTTTTTATTTGTACTGTTTTAAAAATAATTTTTTGCTATTTTTGAGGCTAATTTTTCAATTTTTTTTCACAATGTTGAGATATTTTTTAAGCGGTTAGAAAGATTCAATGTTGCCAATAGAATTTTTGTTAGTCAGTGAATTTTTGAAAAATCATTGTAAAGCAGGCTTTAATGTCAAATTTGACATTTCAAAACCTACAAAATGTCAAAATGACAGAAACATCAGTGGCATTAAATTGAAAGTGAGATAACTAGAGTATTTAAAAGCCGTTTTACAATTTCTGTCTACAGTTTTAATAAAAATGGCGCGGGAAATTTAAGATTTACTTGTCAAAATTTGAAAATTGAAAACTCACTGTAAAACAGGCTTTAACGTCAATTTGACTTTTAACAACCTCCAAACATTAGAATGACAGGAACATCAAATTGACACTGAGGTTACTATCTAAAGACCGTTTTACACATATACAGGGTGCGCCAGAACTCGCGCCCCAGAGAAAAATTTCAAGTACGATAAGATACCAGGAACATGGAAAAAATGTCTAAGAAATTCTATTTGTCAAAAAATTTTGACATTTATTTTTTGACATTTGGCATTTTTTTATGTCTATTTAATGATACTGATTATCTTGTATATGTTTTTTTTATAATTATTTAGTAAAGATACAAAAATTTTGCCAATAAAAGCCACAAATAACATTAAACAGAGATACAATTTAGGCTACAGCTTCATTGTTTCCTCTTCTAATAGCTTGTAGCAAAAGAACTTGGAAAAGTATTTTTCCAACAGAAATAAATAGAGTCAAAGTGAAAATTTAAACTCTCATAACTTCAAAATTTTTATAGATAGAATTTTTTTAACATTTTCTTCCATGTTCTTGGTATCTTACCTCTCCCTGTATTGTCAACTTTGTCTCATTTTTTTGTCCGGCATGGTACATATGTATAATAATTAACATATTTTTCTATCAAGGTTTGAAATTAAATTAGCAACACTGAATAATTTTATTTGTAATTGTTGTAAATACAACATTCAAAATAATTTTTTATTTTTCCTCAATTTTTTTTTCAAATAAAAATAATCAATTTTTTAAATTTTTCTCGTTATGTTGGCCACGAATTTAAAAGTTTCACTAGGTACAGTTGGAGACAAAATACTTTGGTCGTCAATGTCACTTGAGTGACATTAAATTGTAAAGCATGCTTTAGGACTGTTAACTTTATTTTTAGCTACTGTCAATCATGGTTGACAAGTTGTACATATTTTTGATAGAAAAATATAATAGCTGTCATCAATTTGAAATTGTCATTTATTTTAACGTTAAAGCTTGAATTACATTAAAATGTCAGAAAAGTGACGACCAAAGTATTTTGTCTCCAACTGTACCATGCCGGACAAAAAAATTGGAACTTTAAGTTTTTGACTGACACTTCACTCTAAAACAGGTTTTAACGTCAAATTTGACATTAAACCTCCAAAATGTCAAAATGACAGAAACATCAGTGACATTAAATACACATATCTAAGGGCTATTTTACCATTTTTTTTCTAAATAGTAAATTTAGGGAAAAATAGGGAGGCAAATTTAAAGATTTATTATTAAAATTATTAAAAATTGTGAATCATTTTTTTTTTAATTTTTCATAATTAAGAATGATTATTTTGTTGGTATATTAAACATGTAATTTACCTATTTACCATTGAAAAAGTTAACCAAAGATCAAAGGCAATAAAAGGAAAGTTATTCGACCCTAGAGCAATAAAATTCACTATTGGAGGTTGACGATTTTGAAATTAATTTAACGAAATAAGTAATAATTTTGTAACACAACAAATATTTTATTTATGAAAATAACAATAAAACTTGCAATTAGAATAAAATAATCAAATTTTGACCTCTGCAATATTCAAATTGTTTTTTTAAGTCTGACCACTCATTAAAATTTAAACTGAAAGATAGTAACGTTTCACTTCGTTTGTTGCATTTTAATTACTTTATTTTTCATAAATTGCTACTCTTTTAGCAAACAAATCGATGATTATCTTAAAAAAAAGGACTGTATAATTAATTTTTCACACAATTTTGTAAATTTTCCTTCAGCCGAATCCAGATTTATGAAAGGTAACTTCGTTACGGCTAGAATTATCCTTGACATCCTTCGAGTATTATCTAACCTAAGAATTACACTACAAAATACCATTCCAAAGCGAAATTGCAAGTGAATGTACCGGTCCAGTTATTTCATCGATCGGTTTTTGAAAAAACAAAAAAACAAAAAAATTGGAACCGGTTTTTCCCCCAAAAATTATTAGGGGTATTTTTTATTAAATCAGGATGATTGCTCTAACCTGGAGTCAATAGTCCATAGTGTGTGGAAAGAAAAATAGTTGTTGATGGACGTGAAGAACTATCCACAGTGGTTTCACATTCACTATAGTTTAGAAACTGGTGTTCTTGTCTGTAAACAAAGTATTTGGCGTAGTGTGGTGGTCAATGGGTTGGCGTCGGGGCGCAAGGCGTCTGCGCATGACCAAACAGGTGCAAGAGGGGCACGGTGTCCCTACTACCGACCGCATCGATTTGTTTTAATTTTGAGTTATATGATCAGGATATTATTCAATTTCTGATACGAATTGAGTAATTAGGAGTGGGTCAGGTGGTAATTAGTCGGTTTTCTTGGATGATTAGCTCAGCGAGATTTTCTGCTGAAATTTGAACGTCCAAAGTTCTAAAAATGCTTTTTGTGGATTAAATTTTATTGCGTTAGTTACCTTCCAGAGGAAAAAAATGAAAAAGAGGATAGACGTGTTAACTGTTAATTTTTTACAGTTTGAATTCAGCTTTTTTTGTTGTTCTAAAAATCTATAAACAAGAATCCTTGGCGAGTTTTTTATTCTTTTTTCTTTTATTCTAGTTTTATATTTTATATTCTCATTACTGTTTTATTTTTGCGTTTTTGTGTTTTTACAGTAGTTTTTATTTAATTTATTGTCATTATCGCTTTACTTGTTAAATAATTGTTCTACTTTGTTATTGCCAATATCGTTGTTATCTTAAAGCTATCTCAATCAACAAATTAATTTATTATTATATTTTTTAATTAATATTGATATACATAGTTAAATAAATATAATTATTTATTGTATGATATTGACATAACATAACATTCTTATTATTTTAAACAACAAACAAAAAATAACTAGATGAGTAACTTTTATTTTTCTCGTTATGTTGGCCACGAATTTAAAAGTTTCAGTACTATGCCGGACAAAAAAATTGGGACTTTAGTTTTTGATTGACATTTTTTGAAAATTTACTCTAAAGCAGGCTTTAAGGTCAAATATAACATTTCAAAATCTCCAAAATGTCAAAATGACAGGAACATCAAATTGATCTAAGGTCTGCTTTACACTTATAATCTCAACCTTGCCTCATTTTTTTGTTCGGGTAATAATTAACAGATTTTCCAGCAAGTTTTGAAATTAAGTTGGTAACATTGAATTTTTTTTTGTATTGTTTTTGTAACATTAAATATCATTTTTTTTGCTATTTTTAAGCATAGTTTTTCTCAAATAAAAATAAACAATTTTTTTATTTTTCTCGTTATTTTGGCCACGAGTTAAAAAGTTAATAGGAGTGTTAAATGTTCATTTTTTACTGAAGAAATAAGTCTACATGATTTGAAAGTAAATTCAGCTTTTTTTGTTGTTCTGAAAATCTATAAACAAGAATCCTATGGCGAGTTTTTTATTTTCTAGTTTTATATTGTCATTACTGTTTTATTTTTTCGTTTTATTACAGTATTTTACAGTAGTTTTTATTTAATTTATTGTCATTATCGTTTTACTTGTTAAAAATAATTGTTCTACTTTGTTATTGCCAATATTTTTATTACCTTACAGCTATCTCAATCAATAAATTAATTTACTATTTTATTTTGTACTTAATGTTAAAGAGTGCTTTTATCATCTAGTTTCAGTAGATAAAGTGGTGTTTTACCGTCTAGTGAAATAAAGTAATTTTTATCTACTGGCTATATTCAAAAAATTCTGGTAAGTCAGTACAAAATTAAACGAAATAGATATTATACACTACGATAAAGATGTTTATAGTCTTGTATAATAAATAACTATTTTTTGAAAGAAAATTCAGCTTTTTGTTGTTTTGAACATCTATAAACAAGAATTAGTTTTATATGTTATATTGTCGTTACTGTTTTTTTTTTGCGTTTTCGTGTTTTATTACAGTATTTTACATAGTTTTTATTTATTTATTGTCATTATCGTTTTACATGTTAAAAATAATTGTTCTATTTTGCTATTGACAATATTTTTATATAATTTTATTTTTTAATTAATTGATATAAATAAATGTGATTATTTA